ACTGTGCCAAGTCCATCTTGTTGAGGATTTTTTTCTCTTTTGCTGACCTTTCACTTCCCAGCATTTGATGATGCCTTTTTCCAAATACTGGCCTCCCCTGACAACATACCCAAAGTATAGGAGATGAAGTTTCACATCCTTGTTTCTTAGGAGCACTATGGTTGCATTTTCTCTAAGACAGACTTGTTTGTTCTTTTGATAGTCCATGGGCTCTTCTTCAACACCACAATTCAAATTCAGTTCTTCTACCATCCTTATGCATTGTTGTTATTAGATAGCTGTTGAGTCATCTACGACTCATTGTCACCTTCTGAACATTGGATCTGAACTTTAACCTGTCCTGTGCCATCGTCATCATCTCAGGTATACTTAAGCCTATTGTTAAAATCACTGTCAATATATCTCATTGAGGATTCTATATACCTCATTATGTGGTCATTCACCACAGGGGTTCCATGCAATAAATTTACATTATTAGCAAGATGTTCAACTCCTGATGAGCTTCAAGCACCTAATTTGCATATTCCTACCCAATCGTTTGGTGCAAGTTATACCATGGCAGGAAAGGGCATATAAAAGTAAATTGTTTAATTTTGCATTTAATACATGGTTTGTAAGTAATCCTATTCAAGTTGACATTTCCTCCAGCTAAAACTTCTATCAGCAATTACATTTATGGTTTCATTTATTCTTGATGATTCAGATAATTATGTAACAGAGCTGAGCACTTTTGTTTCAGATTTGAATGTGTGAAGTATCTTTGGATGTTGTTTTCAGGTCTGGCTGAGCTGCTTTCACTCACAGCATCTCTGTGTAACAGAACGGAACCGTACTTGATTTTGCCTTTTATTCACAATCTCTGCTGTGTTTAAACCTGATGTTGAAGTTAACTGTGTAAATTTTCTTCCTTGAACATACTCCTCTTTTTTGCTGACTCTCTACTTTCCTTTATAGAGTTTTTGAAGGCCTTTTATTTTGGAAATGGATAGCCAATCCTGCATCCTAGTCTGTCTTAATTCAGGAGCTCTGATGCACCCTGTCTACCATGGGTGACCCTTCTGGCATTTAAAACACTAGTGGCATAGCTTCCAGGATCACAACAACCTACAGTTTACACCAGTACACCAGACCAGCAGATAAATACTCTACTAAAAAGAGCACATAATAAACAAGCAACATATACTCATATAAAGTATAAAGTAATTAACATGGAAAGAATTCCTCTGTGTAAAATAAAAAGCATTCAAATCAGTCTCCAGTATAACAGCCTGAGAGATGGGTGTTACTCCTCTGACAGCAAACTGTGAAAACTGTTTTCCGCCATAAAAATATCACCCTTTTGTGGCTCCAATTGAGGCCCATAGTGGCATGACAAAATTGGGGCTAGATAGGAGTATTTAGCAGGGATGGTGACTCAGTTGCATTTTTGGTGCTGGGGCTTGAACCTTCAGGCACAGGGTGGAGATAAGGATGGCATAGGGTTCAGGTCTGTTGTTTGTAGGGTTGCTATAAATTGTACTTTACTCAACAATGTCAGACAAAAACTACTTTCCTAGAATGATTGTCTCCATGGATAGCCTTTTCTGACACAACATTCCAAAAGAATGTGTGATGAAATCTCACCATCCATTCATAGAAGGAGCATAGTGGCTTCATTTCTTCCAAGATAGATTTGTTCTTTTTGGCAGTCCATGGTGTATTACGTATTCTTCACTAATACCGTGATTCAAAGGCATCAGTTCTTTTAGCTTTCTTATTGACATTTTACTGGTTCTCTTTTTTTCCTAGGTTTACTATTTATAATATTATTCAAGGATTGTTGGAAAATTATTTTATTGTATCTCATTGCTGTCATTTAAAGAAGAGTTGAAAATTTGTTGTTTTTGAGTGATTACTTTTGCTAGAAATAGGTAATAGTATAAAACACTTTACATATAAATTTTTGTACTTTTTGGGAAATCATTTCTTTGTGAAACAAGCCCTTATAAATTATGCCTGCTTTAATGTTTCTTTGGAAACTTCTCTACTGAATATATCAGTATAGTGAAAACTTGTTTTTTTTTTTAAAAATTACAGATTTTGCAGTTTCTCTATGTTATTATAATAGATCTGTAACTTTTGTTAAGTTTTGTAGACAACCAATAGAGGATATTCTCTAACCATATTTCCATGAGGTACACAGGGAGTAATAGTGGTTATGGTTATATTATCGGGACATTTTAGAAAATAATTGAAAGCGGCTTTGAGAGAGTTTCTTCTGGAAAATAATTTGATGAAATAAAAGATTATTTTAATTTAAACTTTAGAAAAAAAGAAAAAAATTATCATTTTAGTAATCATGTTTCAAATGGTATTATATTTAGAAATTCTTTAAATACTGAGCCTTTCAGAGGAATCTTAAAGTGATGGAATTATACATTATCTGCACAGTTCTTAGTATATACTGTGACTCCAAACAAGATTAATATTTTAAATACTTAAATTAATTTTTAAAGATTATTTAAATGTAAGGCACAAATCTGAGGGTTTTTTCCTCTATTATACTTCTTGCCAGTTAATGTTGGTGCCAATGAGTTGCCTACAAATCATAGTGATTCTGTAAACAACAGATTTGAACCTTTCCCTACTCTGTGCCATCTTCACAGTCTTTGCTGTACTTAAGCTCATTGTTAGAGTTACTGTGTCAGTCTGTTTTCTTGGGAGCCTTTCTCTCTTCTCTGATCCTCCATCTTTCCCAGCAGGACTCATCCGATTTAGTAGATTGATAACTTGTTTTTTTTTTTTTATATTGATTAGCTAGGTTGTTATTATCATCTATGGACTCAGAACTGATTCACAGCTGACCCTCTTTTGGGTTCCAGAGGCTGTATATGGCACAGAATAGATTGCTTGTTTTGTCCCATGGAACAGCTGGTAGATTCAGATTGCCTGCCTTGGGGTTGGCAGAGCAACTCCTTAACTACTAGATCACCAGAAAGGTTTTATCAGAAAACAGAATTTTTTTCTCTCTCAGAAAATATCATACAGTTTTCTCAGAAAATGTAATTCTTAATAGGGTGTCAAAATCCTTGAAAATTGGATTTTCTATCTATTGCATTAGCCTCTCTTTGGGGAGGGAACAGTGATCTCCAGCTGCCTTATCTGTGGACATATGGTCTTTCAAATAATTGACAGCTTTGAGACCAATATAAGAGAACATTTGCACACTCTGTGAGAGGGCAGTGATGGTGGTGGAGAGATTGTTAATAGATTGTGGCAAGGTAACTAAAGGAATCCTAAAGATAAAGGCCATAGTTAAAGGTTTTGCTTGCTGGATGATTGAAGGAAAAGCTGATTTACAACTGCTCTGAGATAAAGTGTGCAGAGACTTCTTGCATTTGTGCTTTTGAACTGAACCTGGACTTGTTACTAATTGAGGCTTTGTTAATCTGCATTGGGACTGATGGAGAAAACCTGGACTTGGATGATATTTTTTGCCTTCCCCACTCTCCAGTATATTTCCGCAGTAAACCCCACATTTGTGAGTAAAGGCTGTTAATTTGGAATGAACATTTGACCCAGTGATTAGTAAAAATAGGAGCAGAAGCATGTAGGGTGGCATATCCGATTATGTTGTTGTTTGTTTCATGCTATGGACAATATTGATGTCAGGCGACAGTTCCACTATATGAAGTGAATAAAAATCTGACTGGTCTGCTTTACATTGTATTTGCTCCTTTAACACTTAATAATGATTTTGTTTCCAAATATGATTTTAGACCAAAAAATTTGCATGTAGGGTTTGGTGAATGATGTTGTTGTTGTGTACCATTGATTCAAAACCTACTCAAAGCTGAGCCTGTAGCTGGTTTTCAGAGGCATATAATTAATTGCCTTTCTTTTGTGGAGCAGTTGGTGGCCTTGAGCAGCATGCCTTTGGGATTGCAGTGCTACTTCTTGCTACTAGGCCACCAGAGCTCCCTTTATTTTATAGTTACTACATAAAAAAAAAAAAAGAAACTTTTTAGAAAATTAGTCAAGAAGAAATTTAAAGTATATTTCAAGGTACACCTTCACAGTTAATATTAAATAATCCACAGAGATATGGAACTCAATACTTTATAAAACTTAGGAATAAAAAAAAAAGACAACTAAAATTAATATTAAGATGAACCTGTTTTCTCATATGATTAGGAAACTGTAACATGATTAGAAAACAGTAAGTTTTGTATCTTTGTTTGTCATTGTGGTGTGAAATGTTTGTCTTTTATTGGAAATAACTAGAGAAAAATCTGAGATTTAGTTCTCTGCTATATTTCATATAAAATGTGGTATTGTTTCTTCTTTTAGGGGAACTACAATGTTTAGGAATTAGAAAAGCATACTTATGCAGTATTATTTACTATTAAATAATACTTATTTTAGTATGATCTGTTAATGATAAGGGTAGATAGAGGAAGAATAATAATGTGCCATGTACTGAATATGATCTGTTAAAAACTTAAGCACCAAAAAAAAAAAATTTAAACACCACAATAATTTTCCGAAAGAAAAAGAAAGACAATGTTTTGGGATATAAATGATTATTCTGTGTGTTTATATATAATGCAAGTTGGAAATACTGAGTTTTTATGATTGTTCTAGTGGTTAATGCTTATTTCATATTTACAGTGTAAAAAAATTGAATCAGCTGTTCATAAACAAGGAAAGTATACACATTTTATCAGACAATGAAGCAAAAAATGAGAATAACAAATAGAAATAATATGTGTAACTTTAACTTAGTAAGAAAGCGTAGTGCTATTTCAGGAATGTGGAACAAATATTGTATATTTAAATCTCTTAATTCTGATTTAGGTAATGTCAAATTGAATTATAGAGTATGTTGATCGTGTGGGAAGTGGAAAAGACATTGGAACATATTTAGTGTGCAGCTGTTGTACAGCAAATTGAAACTGACGTATTTCATCCCGTGCTTATTAAAAACGTTGTTTCTGAACATTTGGATCTTTTTGTTTCAGATATTTGGTTTCCAGGCAGGACTGACATCTTTGGATTGTAAAGGATCTTACTGTTTACCTGTACCAATTATACCCTCTTTCAGCACTGCTCTTTATGGTAAACTTCTCAAACTTCCCACATGCTGGTGAGTGTTATACGTTAAAATGTACTTTTTAATGTTAATTTTAATTGATCATTTTAGGAGTGAAAAAAAATCTCAGTTTATCTCTTTTAGGCCAATTTGTTCTAGACAAAGTATTTGAGGAAAATACCTAGAATTATATAAAAAAGCTTCTTTTTAGCTATGAAATATATTAGTTCATAGTATATTTTATGATAAGAAAAGCTTTTGTTTATTAACTATTAATACATGATCTGCTGTAGTAAAATGCTGCGTTAGACTGAAATTGGAACCTCTTTTTTTAGGTAAAGATTTGAGGGAGATACACAGATAAGAAGCTGCAAGTTTATATCAAGGTCTATTACGTACAATTCTTATGTATTTATATATACTGAATAAGAAAGTATGCCAGTGACACATTGTTAGAATATTGAACGCAAGCAGTAGCTACGTTTTGGAAGAAATGTATTCTTTTGTTTGATTCTTTTCTTATTTCCTAAAATTTACATAGATTTGTAAAGAAAATTCAATGTGGGAAATGAGTTTTATAGAAATGAAGTTATTTTCTAATGAAATATTTGCATAATTTTAAATTTTACTTAACATTTTTGGATTATATCTTTCTTAAGTTTATTTTTTCAGGATATGCTTTGTAGTTATTTATGAAAATCAATATTATAGAAAAAATTAGATAACTTTTTCTAAAATGAATGTTTTATCTAAAAATGTATTCCTTTATAAAGTTTCAAAATGAAATTAAATACTCATATTTTCAAAGAAATTTGCCTACTTTCATAAAAATGAAAGTAACAATCTTAAATTATGAGATCAGTTCCTTTGTAATATTAAATTAATTTTAAGGGATAATTCTTAATTTCTCTTATCTAGTTGCACCTATATTTTTCATATCATTTATGTTTTGAATGATGGGTTTTACTTTTAAGATTTTTATTTGCATCTGTATAGGATATTGTGTTTAAGCCAGTTTCTATGTTTTGAACTTTCAAGAAGCATCTTGGGGTATCTTTTAATTTATAAATACAGTTTATATGCCTAGATCATCTTTAATATATATTTGGAAACTATTTCCTCCAGTGCTGATTTACTTATCTATTACTGTAGTAAGATAAAAATTTCATTACAAACAATAATGTAATTTATTATAAGGAAATGACTAACATTGTCTTAAAATATGTAAAATACTAAAAATATGTAATAGCATTTACATGAAAATAATTGTTTAAATATGTAACACTACTTATTAAGACTTACTTTAAGAATATATAGGGATTACTATAAATATTGTCAAATGTAACTTAAAATATGTCTACAGACATTTACTCTAGAAAATGAAAACACCAGTTCACAGTGTACCTACTTTGTGTAGATGAGACTACTTTTTTCATTATTTCAGTAATTTTTGCTATAGTTTACAGAAATAATTGCTTGCAATGTTTGCTTTAAGTTGGTTTCTAAATAAATATAAACTATCCTACTTTAATGCACTTTAATCTTAGTAGCTATAAACGGAAAGTAATAAATATAAAATTTAGTAAATTTAGCTTAATTAAATAAATACAGTTTGAAGTGGATAAAATTTATGATACTTGAATTAATAAGAATAAATGAGTGCTAAGAGTTTAATTCATGCAAAGGATGAGAATTATGTTACTAATATACTTTCTTAAATCATGACTTGAACATTTTGTTCATCCCCTTCTTTAAGCTACACTAAGTTTTCCATCTGGATTTTTAATGTTCATATTTCAGTTTTTGTTAAGTATATGATGATGTATGTGTATGTGTGTTACTAATTATGTTACTAATATACTTTCTTGGTGTAGCCTAATCTTTCTCAACAAAGACGCCTCATTTTAAAAAATTCTGTGTAGTGTGGTTGGGGTTTGCAATGAAAATCTAAGCTCTGTGTAAATCACTTTACACTTTAAAATATATTTACAGTTTGAACTGCCTATGCATAAAGTTTAATACTAATTTTATTTACTCTATCAGGTTTGTTAATACATGTTTTAAAAAAATATTCTTTAATGAAATTGGGTTATTTTCCTTCTATTTAAGTGTGTGTGTGTGTGTGTGTGTGTGTGTGTGTGTGTAAAAAGCAGGCATGTACTATGGTGCTCCAGTTAACAGATATGATTGTCTCTCATTTTTTTGGAGGAGGCAGTCCTTAGAAACAGATTATGCTAGGAAGGGTGATGGAGAAGAGAGAAAGACCCTCAATAAGATAAAAGGAAGAAAGATAGAAAGAGGGGAAGACCCTCACTAAGATAAAAGGAAAGGAAGAGAGAAAGAGGGAAAACCCTCAACAAGGTGAGTTGACACTGTGACTCTAGCAGTGGCCTTGAGCATGGCAGAGGTTGTGAGGATGATGTGGGATAGGGCAAGGCTCAGATCTGTTGTCCAGAGAGTTGCTCTTAGTTATCGGCAACTTGAGGTCAGCTAAGAGCAACATGAGTTATATAACCTATGTAAATTTGTATTTAAAAACCTTTTAGAATGGTAATAATTTTTTATCCCAGATACATTTTGACTTTAAATATTTTATTCAAAGCCAGTGAACATTTTAAGTCTAGTTTAATAATTTTAGTGGAATACTATAATATGAAAAAGTATATATATGTTATGGATATATATTTAGATATTTTGTATTGAAATGCCTTGTTTCTAAATCAAAGATCAAGAAATAGACCATTTTCAGCATTCCAGAAGCTTCATGCTTTTAATTACAACTGTTTCCTTTCTCCCAGATTTAATTGTTCTTTTGATTTCTAGTAACATAGATTACTTTTGTTTCTTCTAGGATTTCATATAAGTTAAATCATAAAACATATACTTCCTTTGTCACTCCAAATAATGTTTATGAGCTTCATCTGTATTTTGGCATGCAGTTTTAGATTATTAATTTTTGTTGTATAGAATGATGTTGGGAGCTCTGGTTGCATAATGAATAATATATTGGGCTGTTAATTGAACGATTGGAAGCTGGAGTAGCATCCACTACCTAAACAACATGCCTCTGGAAACTATGAACTTTTGTTCTTAGGGTCATCAGGAGTCATTCTCGAATTGATGTCAATCATTAACAAAAACAACAATTAAAAGATTGGTGATTGGAGTTCACCAGAAACTATGTGGGAGAAAGATGGGTTGTAGAGATTTGCAAACTCTGAAAGCTCTCAGAGGGTTGCTGTGATTCAGCGTTGTCTTAAAGACAGTGTATTTTGTTTTGGTTTTTGTGATAGTATTAAGTTACATAAGTCTTAGGTATTTACTTATTTTTTAATCTGTAATTTTAATTTAAAACACTCTAATTTCCACTGATTTTAAACTGAAGCATACCTGACCTAGCAGGGTTTTGAGAAGTCTTCAGCCAGATAGGAGGAGATTGCCCTATATCTTCCGCAGAACTGCTGGTGGAATGGGCCTACCTGAAATGCTCTGCCTTTAGTTTAGCAGTGCAACTTCCTCTGGTTTATGCACTTTTTAGAGTATATAAAATAGGACCCTGTAATTGTTGTTAGGTGCCATCAAATTGGCTGTGACTCATAGTGACCTTATGAACAATAGATCTGAGCTTAAGCCTATATTCTACACTGACTTTATGATCCCTGTCCTGCTCAATCCATTGCTGTCAAGGTTTTCTGTTTTCCTCACTAAGTTTGTCTTCTGTTTTGCTCACTCACTTCACTTTTCTCAGTGCGATTTTTTTCTCTTTCTAAGAACTGGTTCCTCCTGAAGTGAGATGCAGTTTCATCGGCCTTGCCATCAGGAGCATTGTGGAGCACTTCCTTCAGGGCAGATTAGTTGGTTCTTCGTTGGCCTGTGGGGTGTTTAGTGCTCTTTTCCAGTATCACATTGCCGAGACATTGATATTTCTTCTCTCATCCTTAATTCACTGTCCAACTTCCAGATGCCTAGGAAGGAATTGATAAAAACATGGCTTTGATGAGGTGCACCTCAATCTTGAAAGTGATATCCTTGTTCTTTAGATCTTTGAAGAAGGTCCTTGACAGTAGATTTCCTCAGTGCAATAGGCCTTTTGATTTCTTTACTGCCTTGTCATATGGTTGTTTGTTATAGATCCAAGTAAGATGAAATAGTTGACAGTGTCGATCTTTTTATCACAATAATTATCTATTGGTCCAGGGATGAGGATTTTTGGGGTTTTTTTATGTTGTGATGGAATTCACATTGAAAATGCTGGCACATACTTCACTGACCCACATGGGAGTGCCAAGAGTTTCAGTCAGTTGTATTGCAACGGGCTTATTTTTAAATTTTTGGTTGACTTACCTAGGGTTTGCTAAGCCGTCTCAACATTTTCCATTATGCAGATTATACACCTTACTTAAAGTGAAGAAAACTTGAAGCACTTGCTACAGAACATCAGAGGCAATAGCCTTAAATATGGGTTATTGTTATGTGCTGTTGAGTCATCTGCGACTCATAGCGGCCCTACGTACAACAGATCTGAAGCCAGTCCTGTCCTGAGCTGGTCTCACTGACTCCGAAACACCTAATCCCATTTTCCAAGTTATCGAGTCAGTCCATCTCATCCAGGGTCTTCCTCCTCTGGACTGTCCTTCCACCCTTTCAAACATGATGTCTTTCTCCAAGGACTGGTCCCTTCTGGTCATGTGCCCAAAGTATATGAGAAAGAGTTTCAAAATCCTAGCCTTCAAGGAGAAACTTGGTTTCACCCTCTCCAAGACTGACCTGTTTGCTCTCTTGGTGGTCAGTGCAGTGCTATTTTCCAGCACCACAACTCAAAGGCATCAGTTCTTTTTCTGTCATCCTTATCATTGTTCAGCTCTCTGATTCATAGCATGTAATTTCCTAAAATGAGTGTCTTCTAAAAATTTTTCCTCCTCAATTTTACGTTTTCCTTCAGAGAGTCCATTGTATTTTGTTGTAATCAACTATTTGTGGTTCAGTTAATGTGCTCAATAGCTAATAAGAAATTTAGAGGGTTGAATCTCCCCTTGGAAGAAATGCTTGGAAAT